GTAGGTTAGGTATACTAGTGGGTGGGGTGGTAGTACTTGCCCCATCATTTTTGATGGTCTGTACATTATTGCTTTACTGGTCAGAAACGAAAATATGGATGAGTGATACTATATGCAATATAAAAGGTCACACAATACAATTACATTGCTCATACTTTATTATATGGACCCCAAAGAAGGAGCACTGGATATCAATCAAGGAAACACACTCATTCTAATACATAAAATAATAGCATAACTTATGATCTATAAGACAAGCAGCACTTTGAATGCATTTTTAAAATAAAACTATGTATCTTTGAAAAACATAAAAAGATTAAGATGTTATAAAAAAGTGTTTTATATGGTGTTGCTCATAAGTCTAACTTCTAGTGCATCTAGGCTATGATTACAACAATAAAAAAAAATGTTATGAAGCAGCTTGTGTGCTTTAAGAGATAAAAGTTCTTTAGTGCTCTGCTTGAAATTTCCTTCTATACAGGTGAATGATTCAGTAGAGATTTTCATTTCTTATATTCTGGCTAACTTTTTGTCTGAATTGAATGAAAATAATTTTTGAGGCATATTACAAGAACCCTGATACTCTTATTACAAATAATTGGCTAGAATGGTGACACAGTCCCATAGTTAATGAACTTCATATGCTACAGTTGGCCCATGGCTTAATGGCATTTTATGGCACAAAGCAACTAGCCTATCTGTGCCAAACAACTGGTAAAAAAGCCAAGTAAAATACAATAAAATGTAAAAAGAAAACAACTTAAAAATGAAACAATGCCCAAAAATTAGGTAAAAAATCTACATGAAAAATGGCCTGTAAAAAACTAAAAACACAATCAAGCTGGACTGTCTCACCATCGCCAATGACACCATCCAACATCAGGGATGAACCCTTAGAAAACACGTCTAAAATGGTGCCGCCTCTGATGTTCATAATGGTGGCATGAAAGTAAAATGTGGGCAGTTGTGATCTGAGTGTCACAAAGGATACACATTAGTGGATAAGTTCCACATAAAAGAAAAAAATGAGTAAAAAACTGTGACCAATGTATAGTCTACAAAAAACAACTTCCTCCTTTCGATCCTTACAGAAACTAAACTGCCAAAAAACAACAGTAGATTTAATCTGGAAAGGCTTGTTATGAAGTTGCTCACCCCAAGTTGACTACCAAGTAGTGCAAAGCCATGCCTTGATCACAGGACCATAGTTAATAAATGGAACAGGCAAGGCCGTGACAGTGCCAGAGCATACGGACATAGCTGTAGTGTCCATAAGCTCATTCCTACAAATACTGACATGGCAAGGTATCCAAAAAAAACTGGATAGAAATGGAAGACTGTGAAAAGTGGGCCACTTGTTTCTGAATAGTGCTGAGAACAGGGTGAGAACTTAGAATAAGTGATTCCAGTGACAATAGAGAGCTTTGAGAGTCGGTATATATAGTATTGCTTAGCTTCTATGTGATCTAGGGCAAGAGAAATGACATACAACTTGGCAGTGAACACAGAAACTGTAGAGGGGATCTTGTGAGCAACCATCAAGCCAAATGAAACCATGGCATAGCCCACAGAGTCACCTGATTTGGAGCCATCCATAAAAATGGGAAAAGAAGGATGGTTTGAAAGACGTTTGGCAAAGAGTAGACAGTACCTCCAATTCATATGACTCAAAGAAAGGTCACAAGTTTGGTAGTAATGAGCCTTGGAGGTATGGGTTAATCATCAGACTCAGTAACATCATCTAATGACAGACCCAATTCAGCTAGCTGTGCCTGGATATGAAGTCCAAAAGGAGGAATGGCAGACTGCCTATTCTAAAAGGACACAGCCCACCGAGAAAGGAAAATACAACCCCAGGTGGGATGGTGTGGTAAGGATTGAAGTTTGGTATCATATTGTAAAGAAAGATGCCAACAGCAGAGGTGAAGAGGAGGTTTTTGGGGCTCAGTGTACAGACTGAAAAGTGCAGAAAACTCCTGTGCAAAGCCAAAGCCACAGATGGTGAAAGGGGCCCAACAACTTCTAGGCAGAGAGTCTGGCAGAACCATAAACCATAGGTCCATAGTCCAGCTTGGAACATATGAGGGCACAATAGATCTTCAACACAGAACTTCAATCTGCTCCCCAAGAGGTGGAAGAGTGGACATGTAGGATGTTCAGTGCCATTGTACACTTGACATGAAGCTGTTTGATGTGAGGAATGAAAGTAAGCTTACAGTGAAAGATTAGCTCCAAGAACTTTGCCTTGGAAACCACAGGAAGAACAACAGGATTGGGGTGTAAACTCCGTTGGTGGCAAAAATGAATTCAAACAGTTTTAGAGCAAGAAAAGGTAAAACCGTATGCAGTGGTCCACTTCAACAAGCAAGTGAGGGCAGTCTGAAGCTGCTGCTCAATAAACCTCATGTTTAATGACCAACAAGAAATGTGGAAGTCGTTGACATAGAGGCTGTTAGCAACATTAGGAGGAAATGGTTTAGTGATAGCGTTGATCTTAATACTAAAAAGGGTGACACTCAAAACACAACCTTGAGGGATGCCAAGTTCCTGTGTGAATAAACAGGAAAGGGTTGGAACCTACACTGACTGTGAACCGCCTGTGAAGTAAAAATTACGAATAAAAATGGGTAAATGACCACACAACCCAAAGGAGTAGAGGTTCCACAAAATGACAAACCTCTATTTAGTGTCATAAGCCTTCTAAAGATCAAAGAAGACAGAAACAAGATGCTCTCTCTTGAGGAAGGCTTTCCTGATCAAGGTTTCGAGATGAATCAGGTGGTCCATGGTGGAGCAATATCGACGAAAACCACATTGGGTGGGCAAGAAGAGGTGCATTAACCATCTTCTCCAAGACCTTACAGAGACATCTGGTCAAAGCAATTGGAAGATAATTAGAAGGAATCTTGAGATCCTTCCAGGGATTTGAGAATTGAAAAACAATAGCTATGCACCAAGCATCTGGAAAAATTTTCTTCTGCCAGATCTGGTTAAAAACAACCAGAAGATGAGCAAGAGAGATAGGAGAGAGATGGCACAGCATATCATAGTGAATGTCATCGGGCCCAACTGATGTACTGCCAGACTGATGAAAAGCCAATTTAAGTTCCACCAAGTGAAAATAGGCAATTATAATCATAGACATGATCAGCCCAAAGGGAAAGGGGCAATTGCTCAGTCCAAGACTTGATGGCCAAGAAGGTGGGAGAAGAGACAGAAGCATTGGAAAGATAAGCAAAGTTCTCTCCGATATTATTGGTGATAGTCTGTACATCAGCAACTTCCTGGCCATTGGAGAGCAAGATAGAAAGGGAATGGGAAGCATACTTCCTCTTGACCTTCCAAATCTTGTCCTAGACAACTTTGGAACTGGTGGTAGAAGAGATGCTGGTAGTGAACTTAATACAAGATTCCTTCTGGCTTTAACATCTGATCTGCTGAGCATGGGCATGGACCAGCTGGAAAGCAATGCAGTTGGAAGAAGTGGGATACCTGCTAAAGGTATCTCAGGCCCGTTTCTGAGCCTTCTGTACCTGTTGGTAGGCAGGAGACTACCATGGACGAAGATACCAAGGAAAAAGTTTCAAGGTTTGGGGGACAGAAAGAACAACAGCTTGAATTATACAATCAGTTACTACCTCCACACACTTGTTAATAATGAAACCAGGATCTAGTTCAGAGAGAGTGGTGAAGGAGAAACAGTCAGCCTGCTACAACTTTCACTGTGGAACTTGGGTCAGGAGGCATTAACCAAGGCCAATCTCCCTCAAAATGATGTCAACGCGACAAGAAAATTGACCTAGCTGAGAAGAATCTACCAATTCCACAGCACCTTTGTGAAGAAGGTCGAGAACCACCTCATATAGATAGTGGCTGGAAATTGGATTCTGAGAAGGGGGAAAGGAAACAGGATGAAAGGGAAGGAGGGAAGAAATAATGAAGAATGAGTCCTTTGGAGAGAACTTGCAGAACCAAAGGATCTGTGGTGAAAGACTCCCACACAGTGGCAAAAAGCAAAAGCCTGGCCCCCACCAAAGCTGTACTTACCACATAGTCACCAGGACTGCTGGGGGTGCTGAAGTTGTCGATGAAAAAACAACAGCTGACTTCAGAAACCAAGTAAAGGAGAGGAAGGAGAAGGAGGATGAGACATGGGAACAGACTCAGGAGGAGGTTGTGACAAATATTAAGCCAATGAGGAAAGGGAGGTGTGCAAATGAGCAGACTCGACTCTGGATTCTAATGAGTCAGAAAGACACCAAAGTCATCTTGCCTTAAAAAAGGGAGCCTTACATAAGTCCTGTAAGGACATGAAACAAAAAGGCTTCTCAACAGGGGAACAACGAAGGGTCTCAGACAAAAGATGAATAGAGGAAAGGGAATGAAGAAGGAGGATAAGATATGGAAGAACTGAGGTTGGGAAAACATAGCCAAAGTATTGGGATCCGAATCCCACAGAGGCAGAAGAAAATCCAATTCCTGTGAGTCCAAAAAAGGAAACTCAGACTGATTATATGCCAAAGCATGATCCTCCATATTAAGTGTAGGTCGAGGTGTACTGACCCTAGAATATAATTAGTCTGCAAACCTATTGGCATGAACCCCAATATCTGGTGAGTGGGGGAGAACAAGAAATTGGTCCAAAGGTGTCTCACTTAAAGGGGAAGGAGAGGAATCATAGGAAATAGGAGACAAGGATAAAGCATAACATACTTGGTTGATCAATTCCAGGAAATGAGAAGGCCATGGCGCATGTACTGGAACTACACGTGACTGTGTGGCATAGGATGGGGACAAAACAGGCTGTCTAAATCATCATCCTCTTGTTCAGGTACCCCTGAAAAAGGAATGACAGGATAATCTGAAGCCTGCATGAAGGTAGCGAACACCTGGTAAACCAAGGCCATAACATCTTCTACTCACAAATGCAGACTTGAAGAAATTGTAGATGAAACAGCATTGTAGGCCCAGCAATAGTTGTAGTAGAAACAATAAACTCATGATAACTATGAGTGGTTTTTGAAAAACATAAAAAATCCACACAAAGAGCTCAAAAGTTTGTTATTAAAAACATGTAATAGTAATGTTTACAAAGGAAAAGTTAGGGAACTGAAGTGTAAAAAACTAAAAAAAATTAAGTTCTCCTAAAAACAAGTAACTGATTGTAATTCTGTGAGTAAACTCGAGTGAAAAATACGTCTGAACATCATGAATGCCAACTGAGAAGTGAAGTTGAGCTAAGCTGCATAGAGGGAGTCAGTGTTAGGAATTGTGTCACACTCCTATTGGTGGAGTGTTGTTGCATGCTAATCTGCATGCTATCACGCAGCTGCTTCATGTGAAAATACGTGAGGGTAGGTGGGAATTCTATTGCTAATTGTGAGCAAAAATGTGTGCATATAGAGGGCAGTACAAGTCAAGGAAATGATATAGTGTTGGAACTTTGATATTACATATTCTTCAGAACTAAAAAAGAGGAGAGGAGTAAAAACCTGCTGAGGCATGTTAAATTCCAGACCTAAATGTCGTAATCAAATAGGATTAGGGGAAGAAGAAAAAATGGGAAGAAGATGAAAAAATGAAAGTAGAGACTGAACTGAATGCTCTGTCAAGTCTAAGGGTCCCACAGATGATTGTTTGTTTGTTTGTTTTGAATTTCGCGCAAAGCTACACGAGGGCTATCTGTGCTAGCCGTCCCAAATTTAGCAGTGAAACACTAGAGGGAAGGCAGCTAGTCATCACCACCCACTGTCAACTCTTGGGCTACTCTTTTACCAACGAATAGTGGGATTGACCATCACATTATAACGCCCCCACGGCTGAAAGGGCGAGCATGTTTGGTGGGATGGGTGCGAACCCGCGACCCGCAGATTGCGAGTCGAGCATCCTAACCACCTGGCCATGCCGGGCCCCACAGATGAACAAATGATCCAAGACAACTCCCCAAACATCCAGATAGAGATGTCCAGAATAAATGAAAGTCAGTGGGCAGGCCAAAAAGACCCATCTTGGTTACTTTGGGTTCATATGAATAGATATAGCAAGTGTCAAATACGAAGTAGATGATTAAAGTAAGACAGGAGGATGAATAATAATCAATATTCATCTTGAATAGAAATGATGATCATAAACAAAATAAGTTGATAAAACCCCAATCAACTCCTACTGTATGCTTCTCTTGAATGGGAAACCAGTTTGAGTGAATTATTTGCAAAGACAAAATGATGTGAGAATAAAGCTGTTTTGAGGTTGAGCTAAAGTGTCAATGGAGTTTCAGAGCCACATGTTAATAGAGATAATATCAATGAAACCCACAATTAATGGAGACTGCAAGGTGGATATATGAGAAATGGAATATGGAGCCCATTAATATTTTGACAGTTTCTAAAATCACTGGTAACAATGAGTATTAGAAGAAGTTGGAAGAACTAAGGATTCAGACACCGAATTGTCTAACATATCACTAGCACCCTCAAGTGTAAGATAAATTATTTTAGAATTAGAGTAATTTATAGCAAAAGTATATCTACACTCCAAAAATTGCATAGTATTAAACTTTATTTACCTTTCTACATCTGTTTTATTTTCTCCAAGGGAACTGCTCCAATTCAAAGCCCTGATAACAGTGTCTTTTGGCATGAACTGCTGGTATCGGGAACTGTTCACTCCAAGATTGATTAAGAAATCTTTGTAAGAGACCAAGCCTGTTTTTTGAGGATCATACCTGTTCCACAATCTTTGGTGAAAAAATTTTACTCATTAGCTGAAAACATCTGTATGAACTATTAGATAAATCTTAAAACATTTCTCTCAAGTTATAAATATTCAATATACAATATATTTACTGAAATGCAGTACCTAATTAAGAGTTACTTCATTACCTACCTGTTGAATTGTTCATCAGTCATTTTAAAACAATAGTTCTCCAGCACTGTTCTCAATTCTTCCTTCTGAATTTTTCCATCTTTATTATAGTCATAAAGCCATATTCCCCTGATAATATTTTTCATATTGCTTGAAATCTTTGGAAGAGAATTTCAGAGCTATGTTTTTAATAAAAGGTATAATTTGTTTGAAATAGTACAAAATGTAATTGCCAACAGAATAAGTAGGTTGTAAACACTGCCAATGCATGAGCATTGACTTTTAACACTTGAAAAGGTATACTGAATACTAATACAAAACTTTAACTTCTTATCTAAATAAAAACATGAAGAATAAAAGAGCATTTTCAGTGTATGAGTTACTTACGTGCTAAATATACATTTATATATGAAAATTCCACATATACTTTGAAATTAATATGTTAATCAGTCACATTTTTAACAACAAACATATTTTAGAATAAAATAAAAAATAATGCACATCTATTAGATCAATTTTTGAGACAAGTTTTAAACCAAAAACAAATCAATCTAAGCATATGTAAATATATACATATGTACACATACATAACCAAAATTTACGTACCTTCTGTTTCAACCCAAATTCTAATTCATCCACAGGAATATTAGTTGGTACGCTATATAAAATATCAATACATTTTGTATTCAGACAATATTGTTTTAGAAACTTGAATATACTGAGAAGTTAAAAATCTTTTTGGGAATATTATCAAGTGAATACAGGTACGTGGTTAGAAGTTCATGAAAGCAAAAATATCATAGTTTGGATTTTTTAGTAACAAAAACAAAACAAATTCAACTTATGATTGTAGTATAGCACCTTCTAGTGGCATACTATCAGTATTTTGAAAAGTTTGATTAAAGATGTTTATTATAATTATAAGATTTTACTGATATTCCTGTGGAGTGTAGTAACATCTTGTTATGATAGATGTTTTAAAATAGTTTAAAGAAAGTTGAAAAAAATGTGTACGGGTGTTAACATTATCATTATTCTTGCTTGTTACACTTGATATTATTTTTGTATTTAATTTTAAATATATGGTTAATAAATGTAAGTAGGAATCATGAAATTAGACTGCTGATCTAAATGATTGGTTTATTTTTTAAGTTTGGAGTTTATGGATTTGTATGATGTATGAGCTCACATTAGTTAACAGTTTAGGTAACTTGTTCTCTTTAATTAAAAATGAATAATATTTAGATAGCTAATTAACCATTGCCTCTGTATTGACTACTTAAAGCTTAATATTTAATGACTGAATGTTAACTTTATTGTGATAGTCAATGTGATTTTAGACAAAAAGTAAGGCATAACTTTGATTAATGCTATTGTCAAACAATGGTCAAAACATTATATTTTCTAATTTTAGAGTTAAGTGTTTACATATCAGAACCAAAAAAAAGCTTCTGTTTACTTGGTTACTATGTGAGTGTCTTATGATCAATCATTAGGATATCTTAACATGTCTCGCATGCAGTTCTGTTGTACAAGTTGTATCAGCACATGAGCACTGTGACTAGTTCTGGACTGTGGAATGAAGCCAACTTGTCTGAAGTTGTTAGACTTTGAATTTGGCTTTTATTGAAAGGGTGTTCAATCCTCTGAGCTAAGATACTGTTATGTATCTGCTCGTTTGTTAATTTCTGGTATAAATTCATTCCGAGGAACTTCAACGATACAAGTCCTTTCTCATTTAAAACTAGTTTATTCTTTCTTGATACAACTTTTTTAGTACACAGAATTTCCACAGTCACTTTAAACTTAACAACCTTTATAACACATGCTATAAATCACGGTGATTCACACACACTTTACTTACGGTGCCTACTGTTCACTTGACTCAATTATCTATCTCTTCAATCTATCTGCATATGTATCTATCGCTGGCTTTATTTGCTGGGCTTATATACTAAAAACACCTTCTCCCAAGCAGGGCGCAAACACTTGCTTGTAGAAAATCAATTATTGGCTTAAAATTTTGGTATTTCTCCTGCTCTGCTTTAATATCAATACCTGGTTTCACTTCACTATTATCAACTCCTTCAGTCACTTTGACTTCAGCTTGATGGCACCTGGTTAGTTCAACCTCCCTTTTAACACTTACCGGAATTCGGCCTTTGTTGTTCTCAAACTTCATTTTATCAAAATTAACTACACATTTCCTTGGAAGTAAGTAGTCCAACCCTAATATGCATTGTCCTTCAATGTCAGCCAAGTATACTTTGTGTCTGTCCTTCATGCTCATGAGCTCAATAGTTACCTACACTGGTCCCCACAACCTTGCATAATGTCCTGTCACACCACAGAGCTTCTGTATGGCTTCTGGTACTCCTTTGTGATCCAGTACCTTGATACTCACAAGGGTTTGCTGAGATGCAGAATCTATGACAAAGTTGCAATTTTGATTATCCAGCTTTTCTGTCA